AAAAAGTTATTACTTGACCCTGTAATTCCGCTTTCAGGAAATTGTTCTGCTGGAAAGAACTGCTAGAAAAATATGCACGAATTTGTTCACCACTGCAATGTTTATCACATAGAAAGGCTGAAACATTAAGGTCCAACAATAGGGGGATGTTTAAATTTTGTCAGATGCATGCAATGAAATACAACCATTAAAAATTGTTCTTGGGGCGCCTGGGTGGCTCAGTTGGTTGGGCGACTGCCTTCGGCTCAGGTCATGATCCTGGAGTCCCGGGATCGAGTCCCGCATCGGGCTCCCTGCTCAGCAGGGAGTCTGCTTCTCCCTCTGACCTTCCCCCCTCTCATGTGCTCTCTCTCTCTCATTCTCTCTCTCAAATAAATAAAAACCTTTAAAAAAAAAATAAAATAAAAATTGTTCTTGGAGAACTTCTTAATGAGGTGGAAATGTTTACAGTGTAAAGTCTGGTTTAAAAAAAAATGAATGTAAAATCTACATACAGTATGGCCCTAAATATTTGACATATATACAAAGAAAACAAACACACCAAAAAGTTTACAAATGGTTATCCGTGGGCAGAAGAATTGGAAATTATATTTCCTTCTTTATACTCATCTGCATTTAAAAAATTGTCTACAATGCATAGCCATTACTTTTATAATCAAGGGAATAGAAAACAACAAATCTGTAATAGCCTCCACACCCCACCCCCAACAGACTCTCCTGGGTCTTAACCCCAGACTAAATTGCTCTTGGGATCTTTAGGAATTCTGAAGCCGTTGGGCTCTCAACGAGTAACAAAATAAATCTTGAAATTAAAAATCAACCAGCAGGTAACCATGTAGAATGTCATCTATATTCTGACAAAATGCAAATTTTGACATAGTTTTAAGGGGTGGTATCTTGCATTGGGCTAGGTCTCATTAGGACTTCCCCCTTGATTCAGACCTACCTATTACCTACCTAATCAGCCCATAGGTGGCAATCCCTGCCCTCCACCTTACCCAGGCAAACCGGTTCACTAGTCCCTTCATGCTCCTCCCTAGTCCCATCAGCAACACACCCTTCACCTGGTAACCCTCCCCTATTTCCAGACCATTTGGTACGCCATCCCTGCTAGGAAGTGCGTACTGATTGCAGCTAAGCATAGATCTCCCCACCTACACAACACCAGCAAAAATCTCAGCGGGGTTCACTGTCTATATAGAATAGAGTTTGGGAAATGAAGGAGTGAGTCATCCCCCTTGGCCTCCAGCTTCTTAATGTTGTCTTTGAGCCTCTGGGATCTTCCCTAACTCTAAACACAGCTTCCTCCCCTCCTACCCTATTCACCAGATGGCTCCTTAAATGGCCCTCCCTGAACCCTAGGCCCCCACTCAAGTGTGCTCCTTAATTCTCTGAAGAACGCTTCTCTTAGCCTCTGGCCCGTAGCCCACTGTGAGGTCAGCCTCCCCCCGAGACCAGACCACTCTCTGCCAACACTGGACTTGGGAGGGAACGCCTGCAGCTTCACACAGATCCTTGGCCAGAACAGTTTCCCAAAGCATCACCTATGCTTAGATCCTTCTCGAACCAAGCTGCTCACAGCTCTTGTTTCTCAGCTTGTCCAGCCAGCCCTGTCACCCCTGACCCCACTGCCCCAACACTGTTTACAGCACCCAGCTGTACTTAGGTCTTCAAATGGTTTTAGCCACGCCCTGCCCTGTCACTCAAGGCCCTCGCTGGCTAGCCCCAATGCCCCCACTTTGCCGTCCTCAACTGGCTGGAAATATCCCATTTCCCAGTCTTCCCTGAGCAGTTTGCACCTCAGGCCTCCACACCTTCTCTCATGCTTTCCTCTCCCCAAAAGACTTACTCCCCTTTCTATTGTTGTTCTGCTTCTCTGATCAAAGTCTGTTCATTTAGTCGCTCCCTCCTTTCTTCTACAGAATTTTTCAGTTAAATATGCTTAGAATTGTTTTTCCTACCAGGGGTGGAGGTTAGGTTTTAAACAGCCCTGAATTCTCCAGCAGTGTTCCTTTAATTAAACTGTTTCTCTGTGAATTTACCCCTCCTCTTCCTTTGGACTGGAAGGTCCTGAAGGCAATTCCTCATTATGTGCCCCTAACTCCAGCCGGGACAAGGCTTTACCCACAGTCCCCGCCACTGAGGGTAAGACAGATCTTGAGATCTCCCCTTAGCTCAGGAAACAGGACCAAACTTGTTGGGAAAGGGTGAGTCTTTTTTCACTCAAAATGATTTGGTTATCAGGCTGTGAACTAGGACTCCTGAGCTCTGCTGATTCTGATACTAGTTTATTAAGGTAAGGATCATCTTTCTGTGCTTCTAAATGGGAATTGCACCTACGTGCTTTACCTGCTCCACCAGGACACTGAATTCAAATGTGGTAATAAAGTAGAACAGCCACAGGAAAGGCACAGGAGCTGACGACGGGAGGCAGAAGGTCATTGGCGCCAGAATGGGTCAGCATAATTAGAGGCCAGGCGAGGGTCAGGAGCTTCCTTACTCAGCTTAGTAGTGGGAATGGGAACCCAGCAAACTAGGAAACAAGTAGAAGCAGCACAGAAGTTTGCAGAGGTGGTAGCTGAAAAAGGAACGCTCGAACATTTTCCCCGTGCGTGAAACAAGTTCGTGGTTCCTTTCACAATACAAGCGCTACTGTTAGCAAGCTCATGCATTTGCCTTTTTTGTCCAAGTTTTCTTTCACTGGCTGCTTATGTGGGGGTAGTAGAAAGATCCCCTGATTTATGTTTATTAAGCTTACATGACCTTAAACAAGTTACTTAACCCTCAAGCCTCAGTTATCTGGTCTATAAACTGGGGACAGAGCACTTACCTTGAAATTAGTGTGAGAATGAATTGATAGGAGCCCCATAACTTGTCTAGCACAGTTCCTGGTAGTCCCCTGCTCTGAACAGAGAAGGTTTCGGTACAGCTCTGGCCTGGGTGTAGGTTACCAATATTGTGAATAGGCTAGGGCAGCGCTAGGGAGGTATAATTACTGAAACTTTATAGCCAAGATTCCAAGACAGTCACAATTTCAAAGACACTCTCCTGTTCTCTTAAGTCAAGAAGCATTTGCCAAGTTTTGACTGGGAAAACATGATCACTATGGAAGGCACCTTGGCGGCTACCTATTTCTCCATCAGCCCTGAGAGTCTGGGCTCCAGGCCCAAAGCTTCTCAGCCAGACACTCAAATATGCAGCTGAAAGGCGGAAGGAGGAAGATGTTCAGCAGTGGCTCAGGGCACCTAGTAGGTAGGAGACCCAGGTGCTACCTCCCACCTTCTCCGGCCCAGTGGACTGCAGCACATTTCCACACTACAAGGAAAGAGCATGTTAAACCCTTAGAACTCAAGTTAAATCCTCAGGTCCTTGGCTGCACATTAGAATCACCTGGGGAAATTTGGAAATCTTCATGCTTGGACTGTATTCCAGACCAATTAGATCAGGTATTTTCAAACTTGCCACAGGATGATAATCACCTGTATTAGCTTAAAATAGTTTCTCAGGTTCTGGAGTTAGCACCATTACCGGAACGTAATGATTGTAAAACACACCCCTTTAAAAACATAGAGGATATAAAAAAACAAAACAAAAAACATACAGGATATGTTAACATCTTTGAAATCTGAGTGATCTTCCAATCGGTGGTATCTAAGATTTTTTTTTTAAGATTTTATTTATTTATTTGAGAGACAGCGAGAGAGGGAACACAAGCAGGGGGAGTAGGAGAGGGGGAAGCAGGCTTCCTGCTGAGCAGGGAGCCCAATGCAGGGCTCATGACCTGAGCCCGAAGGCAGACGCTTAACAACTGAGCCACCCAGGCGCCCTGGTGATATCTTAAGATTTGATGACACACAGAAACCAGCATCTCAGGTGATCCTCATAATTAGGCAGGTCTGAGGAAAAAACAGTTCCCTAATACTTTCTAGGGCAGCACTTCCCAAATTCTAACATCCTTAGAGTCATCTGCAATTCTGTTACAACGTAGGTTCTGGATCAGAAGGTCTAGGTTAGGGCCTGAGATCCTACATTTCTAAGAAGCTCCCAGGTGAACGGTGCTAGGCCTTGTGCCACATTTTGGGTCGCAAAATGCTGAAGTATCTCCTCTTGGGGAGGCTCCACCAGCAACTCATTTAATTGAACTGAAATAACTGGCATAAGGAAATATGACCAATGGAGAGAGTCTTTGATAGGTCTGAGAGGCAACTACTGGACTGCACTCCAGCATTTCTCCCCAGGAAGGGGCAGCAGGGATGAAGGCCAGAGGGAGGGCCGTCCCAACCTTTGCAAAGCTGGAGGCTAGAGTCCAATAATTTCCCAAGGAAGCAGTTTGCTATATGAAACAGCAGACCCCCACTCTAAATACCAGCAGAAGTTCACTCACCAAGTGAAGTTGGGCCTCAGGTGGCTTTAGTGGGTTGAGGGGAAGCAGCCCCCTTCTGTCTACACATACCCTTTCTCCTTCCTTCATTTAGTCACCAAACCTTTACTGAGGGTCCACTGATAAACCACAAGGTCTGAAGGATTCAAAGACGAATCACATTTGGTCCCTGAGCTCCAGGGGAAGGAATTCAGCCTGGGGGAAACCACGTGTAACGTGAAGTACAATATGAAGTGATAAGTGCTATTAACAGAAGCACACACATGACGAGATGAGCCAACATAAAGGAATGACGCTGAGAGCTTCCCGGTGCAGCAGCCACTGGAGGAGCTGGAGAAAACATTTCTAATCTTTCCAGGAAGGGCACCACCCTAAACAAAAACTCCTTGCCAGGAGCAGCCTGCTATGATGGAGAGGGTGCTTTGATGCCTTGAAGCCCTTAAAACCAAAACTGTATAATCTGGAGCCTCAGGATGGGCAGAGCTTCCTGCATTTATGCCTCTAATCTCTAGCACTAAGATGCAAGTGAATCCAGGGAAGGAAGAGACTTTTAGGGGATCAGCCCCTCAAAAGGATGGGGGCAGCCATGATCTCATTCCAGAGAGCTTCAGTACCTGCATCCTATCCTCCTGTGTCAGAATCCCGCAGAGCATTTTCCTAGTTACAGAAACAGAAGTCTTTGCCCTTTGTCATATTGAGCTCTTAATTGGCTTTGACCCATCACATTGCTGGATATAAAGGCTACAATCCCTAGACTAAGTAGATCTCCAGCTGGGTAGGGAGTCTCAGCCAAGACAGGCAGGGTACAAGAATCTAGAACTTGCTCCCTCACCGAGCCCCCTATAGACCAGCTTTTGAGGAGGACTACAACGAAACGGATCCTCAATCCCAATTTACTTTTTCCTTATTTTCCATCTCACATAGGAAACTCTAGAGAAGAAGCTTAAGGGCCGGAAGAAGCAGCTGAGGAGGAGACAGCAGAAAGATGGGGAGTGGAGCCAGTGCTGAGGACAAAGAACTGGCCAAGAGGTCCAAGGAGCTAGAAAAGAAGCTGCAGGAGGATGCTGACAAGGAAGCCAAGACAGTCAAGCTGCTATTGCTGGGTGAGCAAGATGGGAAGATGAGCCAGAGAAGGTACTGCTCCTTCCTGCTAATCCTGGATGGTAGGTGGGTTCTAGCCCACCCCACGGGAAGGAGGGACGGCAGGTCATTTTTCTTCTCCCCAGCCGGTCTCAGGCTAGGGGATCAGGGCTCTAGGGCTGAGCGCAGCCACCCCAAGGAGATGCAGAATGCCAAAGCTACCCTAGAATTGTTCTGCTCTTCCTTGAACCAGGATTGTGCAAGGGCCGGGACGGAGCCATCCATCTCCCAATCTAACCAAACCTAATACCTCACAGCTTGGCAAACAGGGTGAACCCCAGGCTTGCAGACAGTTACCCAATCTGCAGTCAGAGAGCTCTGAGTCAAGGACTCGGGAGAGGACAGTGGACTCCAAAGTCCTACCATATAATCAGTGCCATGTAGTCCTGGGGACAGACCCACTGGTGCTTGCCAAGTAAACCGGTTCCTTCTCCTTGCTTCCAGTACACAATTTGTACACATTTTAGAACTAGGGAGCCCTGAGGGAGGAGGAATAGAGTCTTTATCTATGGCAGTCCTTTCCTGGCTTTCTGTTCAGTAGCTGCCTTGACAGCCCCTGCCAGATGGGAGGTTTATCACCTTGATGAGCTCCTAAGCAGATCACAGGTCTGTGCTGAAAAAAGAAAAGCACTTCTGTTGGTCAGTCAGAGAAATTGGTCACAGCTGGAAACAGGACCAAGACAATGAAGAGTTTGGGACACCTGGCTGAGGGGAAAAACCTCCAAAAGTACGGAGGTAAGCTAGTTGAGGTAGGCGGCGTCCATGCAGCAGCACGTTGGCTGGCTGAGTTGTTTTGAAGCCCAGGCAAAGCCTGGGAACTGCAGCCCCAGGCCATAGCACCTCCTCTTCCCCAGCTGATCTGTGAGCATACTGCAGGAAGCAAGGAGCCCAAGAAGCTACAGAAGGGGGAAAGAGATGGCAAGGCCACTGAGAGCTCTTTTAAGCCTAAGAGGCTTTCTTCCACATTCAGGATAAGCAGCTTAGAGGGAACAGGCCCAGCTTTAAGTGGGAGGGGGGTTAATATATAAGGGCCATGCAGACTGGGGGAGAGGGTTGAAGGGGATATGGAGGGGGAACTGAGTGCCAATGAGAGGATAGTAGGACATTTTAGCCAATAAAGGAAAAAGCAAGATGATGAAAAAACAGTATTTCAGTGAAGTTATCCAGCTCTCTGCAATCCTGCCCCTAGAGCACTCTCCTGAGTAAAAACAGGCAGAGGAGAAATGTATTAAAGGAATTCCCCTGAATCTATCAGTGGTGCTCAATGAGATTTTGCCACCACTCCCTCCACCTCCCCCGGACACTGGGAAATGTCTAGAGACATTTTTAGTTGTCACAGTGCAAGAGAAGAGTGCCATTGGCCTCCAGTGGGTAGAGGCCAGGAATGCTGCTAAACACCTTACCATTGACAGACAGCCCCCCCACAAAAAAAGAATCCTCCAGCCCAAAACGTCAGCAGTGCAGAGGATGAAAAATTCTGCTCTAAATCCAGACTGAATGGCTGGCAGAAATTGAGGGCAGCAATCATCCCTATGTGTTCCCCCCAACAAGGCTCCCAAGCAAGTCCTACCTTGGACTTCTCACAGGCCATCTACCGGAGGGTTGGGGAAAACTGGTGGAAATCTGAAGCATAAGCATTTCTCCCTGCAGGTGCTGGAGAGTCAGGAAAGAGCACTATCGTCAAACAGATGAAGTGAGTAGGAATAAAACCCCAGAGGACTGAGGTAGGGTGAAGAAGTCAGCAGAGTCAATAGAGGCATGGAGGATGAAGGGCTCCTTGTGCCCAAGGAACCCAGATGTAAAGGATATAAAGAACCTGATTCCCACCCAATGCCCCTCATTTGCATGCCCTTTTCCCCCTTACTCTCCACTTTGGGAGAGCAACAGGCATAGAGACTGAGTTCTTTAAATCCTTCCAGATTCCCAATCCCTTAGGTCTGGTTACTCAGGTCCAACTGAGGACTGGATGTCTACTCCTCGCAGGATCATCCATCAGGATGGCTATACACCAGAGGAATGCCTGGAGTATAAGTCCATCATCTATGGGAATGTGCTGCAGTCCATCCTGGCTATCATCCGGGCCATGTCCACACTAGGTATTGACTATGCCGAACCAAGCTGTGTGGTAAGTGGTTAACAGTATGTGGTTATGGGTGGGAGGAAAGGCTAACGGAAAGAAACAGCAGCCAACAAGCTATGAAGAAACACGAGTCAAGAGTTTCGTGTAACTATAATCCCACCTACTGAGCTTCCAGTTTTTTTACTTCAGTCCTGGAGAAGTATGCAATCCCTACCTTTAAAATAAATTACAAAAATCTGCTCCCAGCTTCCTCTGCCTTTTTGTCTTATTTTACCATTTAAATTGTTCTCCTTGGGGTCTTTGCCCTGACCATGGACCTTTTATAAGCTAAACCCCATTCCAGTATTGGCCTTTTCCAAGATTTGAATCACTGAAAGAACAAAGGTGATGGTTTACTGTCTTCCGTGTTGTCAACTTCATGGTCAGTCTGGTCTTTAAACTTCCAACTTCCCTGTGGCAGACGACCCACATTTTGTGGCAGTACCCTCTTGGATGAAGGCTGGAAGATAGAACCACCACAGAGGATGCCCCCTAGAACCTGTTTTCCCCTAGGCACCCCAGGAAGTGGATAAATTGCCACCCTCCGAAGCACACTCAAAATTAACTGGTGTTTTCTTAGCATCTTCACTGGACGCTGTCTCCATCTTGGGCTTTAGTAGCAATGCAAAATGGTTTCCTTCCAGCAGTATTCCCAGGAGCCTCCTGGAAAGCCATTACTCCTGTGCAGTTCTCAGCCAGGTCTCTGCCTTACAGGATACTGGGCGACAGCTCAACAACTTGGCTGACTCCACTGAGGAAGGCACCATGCCTCCCGAGCTGGTGGAGGTCATCAGGAAGTTGTGGAAGGATGGTGGGGTGCAAGCCTGCTTCGACCGAGCTGCAGAGTACCAGCTCAATGATTCGGCATCTTAGTAAGACTCTGACTGGGGAAGGGATGGGATGAGGCGTAAGCAACCAGGATTTCCAGGAGAAATCACACCTAGCCTAAAATTTCAAGCACTGAAAGCTAGAGTCCCAAGGACTGAATTCAGCATGGATACTTGTTTCATTCAGGCTTGAGCAGTGCTCATAATACTATGCTTTGGATGTGATGCCCTTAGATACAGTGCTGCCGTAGTGGTCACCACTCTCTCTTGCTTTACACCTGCTCACTGCAGCCTAGAGAGCTGAAGACCCCCCAAATTCAAAACAAAGATGCTCTGTTTAGTAGCCCTCAGACCGCTGTCCTCTTCATCAATTCATACACATAGCCTCTCCTTTCAGAACCATGAACATAAAGACACACCTGCAGTTCTCCCACATGCTCTCCCAGGTGGAACTTTATTCACGATGGCCTTTCTAGGGTGGAATTTTCTAGCGGGTAACATTAATGTCACCTAGGCTCTACTTAGGCCACTAACCTGAAGTGAACACCTCCTTCACCCATAAATAGCATCTTATGTCGGAGTGCCAGGCATGGGACACAGAAACTTCCAGGGCAAACCAAAGGAAGTTGGTCAGGGATTAAAAAGAACCAACTTTCAAAGCTGGTTCCAAAATGATAAGGTACACATCAATTATACCTCTAATGGCATGCAATCTATCATGGATGGGCATAAACTTTGCAGTCAGACACAGCTGGATTTAATCCCTGTTCTGCCACCTAGTTCTGTAACATAGTTCTCATTTACCCTCCGCGAGCACTGACTCACCAAGGCCCAGGCACTGCCGGGTGCATGACGTATACCGTCACATTTGATCTGCACAGTAAGCCTTTGGGTACAGAGTACTTTGTATTAGTCCCATTTATAGATGAAAAACTGAGGTTCAGAGAAGTTAATTAACTTACCCAAAGTCATATAGATAAATGGCAAAGGCTGGATTTGAATCCAGATCTATTTGACCACAAAGTTGAAGGCTTTTTTACAGTATACCACAAGGTCTCTTGACCTTGGACCCAGTCATTTAACTCTTCTCAGTTTTTCCTTCATCTGTAAAATGGGATATGAAACTTGGAAGGTGTATGAGGTTAAATGAGAATTTCAATGTGCAAATGCCCGGTAGACAGTAAGCACTTGTTAATTTTCCTTCCCTTCTTCTGTCATCTCACTTCATATCTGCCTTCCTCCTTTTTAAATTTTTTTATAATAACTGTCAAACATATACAAAAGCAGAATAATACCTCGCTTCAACTGTTAACTCACGGCCACTCTTGTTTCATTGTACCTCCATCTCCTACTGGATTATTTTAAAGGGAGTTCCACATAGTCTATCATTACAGCTCAAAAAAAAAAAAAAAGAAAAAGAAAAAGGTTTTTTTTAAAAAAAGGAATAATCTAATTGTCACACCTAAATATTTACTAATTCCTTAATGTCATCAAATTTCCAAGCCAGTGCTCATTTAAGTTTCCCCAGTTATCTCAAATGTTTGCTCCCCAACTTGATTCAGAATATAAATAAGGTCCCATGCAATGCACCGATTCACATCTCTGAATGTCTCTTTAGTCTCTTATAGTCTACTCCTGCATCTTGATGGAACTTTTGGCACCCATTTAAACCACCAAATCTCACTGAAGGGTCTAGAAAACCTTGCAGTCAGGCAAACCTTAAAGAAAAGTTATCTGACTTGATTTAAACGGCACGGAACCCCTACCTCAACTGGGCATGCCTCTCAACCCATCCCACACTCCCTTTTGTAGGGGCACATGAGGGTTTGGAGGAAAGAACCCTAGGTTTAACAATATGGATTCTAGTCCTGGTTCTAAGTTAGTTGTAGAACTTTGGGTAAGACCCTTTACCTTTCTTGGCCTTGGCTATGGAAAGTTTAATGTCAATTCCAAGCTTTTTTCTCTAGCTACCTGAACCAATTAGACCGGATTACAGCCCCTGACTACCTCCCTAATGAGCAAGATGTGCTTCGATCCAGAGTCAAAACCACAGGCATCATTGAGACCAAGTTTTCAGTCAAGGACTTGAACTTCAGGTGAGTATACAGTTCCCTGGGGCACCACAGATACACACATGGTTCCCTGAGTACACCTCAGATACCAAAAAAGGGCAAGGGCATGCTTCACTAAAGTCCCATCTGAATGACTACCCTACTTCTCCCCCTTACCCATCTCCCTGCCAACTGGGCCCAAAGTAGCCACCTCTCTGGGGTAAACACCAAGTGCATGTGCTGTTTTTTCCCCTCAGGATGTTTGATGTGGGAGGGCAAAGATCGGAGAGAAAGAAGTGGATCCACTGCTTTGAGGGAGTCACCTGCATCATTTTCTGTGCGGCCCTCAGTGCCTATGACATGGTGCTAGTGGAGGATGACGAAGTGGTAAGTGGCCTTTGCACCAAGAGCTTTGATAGTTGCCCTGTGACCCTTCCTCTAAGCTGTGTCACCAATTCTTCAATTTGGGTGATTTCAAGACAGCCTAGCAGTCCTCTAACAGCCAAATCAATGTCTCTGGCAACTAATTCTAGAAAAATCTCCTCTTTTACAAGCTCCAGGTTAGCACTTTAGAGCTCCAGATTTACTGGGAGTGAGCTTGGTCTCAGATCAGAAATCCAAGAAGCACTTGGACATCACATAGCTCACAAGAGGAATTGAGTATTAAAGAGACAAGGGATCACAATTGGGTTTGTAAAGCACAGGAGTTACACTTTGGACTTTCCCAGGCTGCCTATGGAAATAAAGGATAGGAGGTAAAAATGATAGAGCAGAAAAACAATGTATGATGTGTATCTTTGTGCAACATGATAGAGGGGTTGGACTACTAACCTCACTTGGAAGCCTAAATATGTACCGTCAACAGGACTAAGGAGAGACTGGCAAACGAGCTTTCTCAAATGCCACTGAAATTGGCAGGTGGAAGACTACCTGAGGGTGAATCTCTTGAGCCTGCAGAGTTTAACAGGAGCTCTGCAGGCCCAGGGTTGGCCCAGCCAGTTACCTTTGGAGTTTGAGACACAGGATATCACCGCATGGAAAATGCTAATGGAGGCCCAAAGCTTACTGATATCAGACAAAGCTCCTACATTCCCATCCCTTGCTCCAGTTCTTCTCCCTTCTCCTTAGTAGTTTAAGTTCACATGAGAGCTCTGTATCTTCTATGCAAATTCATTTTCAAGATCTCTTCCATCTTTAACCCTGAAGTCTATGAGGTTTTAAGGGGTTCTGCAGGAGTATTAGCAATGACAAAGGGCCACAAAAAGTAGATTTGTTTTCTTTCTTCATTAGATGAAAAGATTCAGCCCAAGTGAGCTAACAGCATACTTCAAATCCTAAAGGCCCACTCCCTGAAAACAGGCTGGTCTGGGGAATTGGTGACATCTAGATTCCGCAGATACATAGCACCACTTCTCACTCAAAGTGGCAATCAGAGGAGGAAATAAAGCAGAAGTGCTTGTGGTGTGGCACTGAGAAATTCTCTAGCCCTCACCATTTGACACCAAGGCAATAATCCCTATTATGTTCCCTCCCAAACTGAGATCCAGGACTCTGTAACAGAAGCCTAGCAAAATCATCCTGGGGAAAAAAAAAAAAAACCATCATCCTGGAGACACAAAGGGGCACATGATAACTCAGGCTTAGTTTCAACCGTGTATCAGCAGCACTTACAGGCATCGAAGTCCCTCGCAGTGCCCTGGCAGCCCAAGATCGGCATAACATTTATTGTACACCTATACGCCAGCCACTCTCAGGGACCCTACATACATGATCCCATCGAACTTCCATAATGACCCTATGAGATAGGGAAAAGGAAACTCAGAAAACCTCAGTAATCTGCCCCAAGTCACACAGCTATGGCAGAACGAAGATTAGAAGGGCAGCTGTATCTCTTGGGCTCTATCCCACCACACCAAGTGGAGATATGCTGTTCCTCTTACATTCGGAGCACTAGTCTCTCCAAGGGGAACAAGAACAGGAAGTAGACAATACCCCATCAGCTCAATCTGAAATCTCTGATGGTGTTTCCTCCTCCTAGAATCGTATGCATGAGTCATTGCACCTCTTCAACAGCATATGTAACCACAAGTTCTTTGCGGCTACTTCCATTGTCCTCTTTCTCAACAAGAAGGACCTCTTTGAGGAAAAAATCAAGAAAGTCCATCTCAGCATTTGTTTTCCAGAGTATGATGGTAAGTGTCAAGGGCTGGAGACAATGGTAATGATTTCTTGGTAATGACTGGTGATTGCCTCATTTCCTATACCAAGGAGACATGAAGGAACCTGTCTTTAAGGAGTACTAAGTGTAACGCCTTTGCTTTGCTGGGTTTGATGATCCCTTACCCCTTTAATACTCAGTTACTCTTATGAGCTTTGTGATGTCCAACTGATACTTGGATGTCTAATCTGAGAAACTTGGGTATTCAGTCATAGGTTTAAATTCAGATGTCCCTGGAACAGAACAGATGTTAGATGCAGGAGAGCCACAGAATGTTCAAATTATACCTACCAGAAATCAAGGGTGGAGACACAGAGATCCCTCTCCTCACTTTCCTTGTTCAACTAAAGTGATAAACACTGGAGTACAATAAAGGAGAGGACCCTCCCTCTAAAAACAGGCCCCCAACTGCAGCTGTCCAACACATTTTGAGGATCAAATTGGTCACGTAAAAAGTAAGTGAGCAGCTAAGAAGGGTTCACTTATGCCACTTCTTCACTATTTTTTCTGGGAAACCAGGAAACAACTCTTATGAAGATGCAGGGAATTACATCAAGAGTCAATTCCTTGACCTCAACATGCGAAAAGATGTCAAAGAAATCTACAGTCACATGACCTGTGCTACAGACACACAGAATGTCAAATTTGTATTTGATGCAGTTACAGATATTATCATCAAAGAAAATCTCAAGGACTGTGGGCTCTTTTAATTCTCATCACTCTTCATGTACACATCCCATAACCAGGCTTGGAATCCGGCTAATTTCAAGCAGAAAAGCATAGATCAATATACCATGGCATGAAGAGTGAATTCATTCTCTTTAGAGATGGACTTATACATGATTGCAACTGTCTCCCGTATGTTCTTTTCAAAGTGGGATAGCTAGTGCAGTTTAAAGAGCATAAGGCCAGGAGTCAGAAGACCTAGGTGCCAGCACTGGTTCTTTAACTTACTACAAGGTGTAAGTATTTCATCCTCTGAGCCTTGAGTCACTCATCTATAAAGTAAAGATAACTTCCCTACTACTTCACAGGGTTATTCTAATGATCACAAACATAAACTGAAGGGAAGGAGCATAAAAGCTGTGTGGTTAGAGTCACAGAAAGAAATCCTATATAAAAGCAGCCACTTAGGAAATTCAAGACAAAATATTTAGACGAACTATCCAAGGAAAGCAGCAAACCTTCCCTACGTTCTGCAAAATAAACAATTAAAAACAAGACCTCAATAAACCTACCACCATTTTTTACAAACAGACTCTCTGTACCTTAGCTCAGAGATCTGAATCACTGGATTGGAGATGTAAGTTTCTAAGGTACATGTCCAAAACCGATCATCTTTATTAAACAGACTATCCCTCTGCAAGCTGCCCAACTGCCATCTCTCTGTAAGTAACTGTCTCAGGTATAAAAGACACTTTTTTTAAAGTAGGCTCCATGCCCAGCGTGGAGCCCAATGTGGGGCTTGAACTCACAACCCTGAGATCGAAACCTGAGCTGAGATCAAGAGTCAGACGCTTAACCGACTGAGCCTCCCAGGTGCTGCTCAGGTATACAAGACACTTTCTGAATAAACTTGGAAGAATTCAACACACTCCCACTTAGAGTATTAATGATTTTATTGCTACCACTTCTTGATCACAGAATTTTTTTTTTTGTAAGTGTATTTATTTAAGCAATCTCTACACCCAACGTGGGGCTCGAACTCACAGCCCTGAGATCAAGAGCTGCACACTCTATCGACTGAGCCAGCCAGGCGTCCCTCAATCACAGAATTTAGAGTAGGTAAGCAAGGCTAAAATTCCCATTTCAACTGCTACGTTTCAGAGCAAAAAAAGGCAGCTGATCTTGCTTTAGGCACTGAAAATCTCTGCAGTTGAATCCATGTGATGCCTGGCTGAAAACAGTATCTCCCCATACAGGACAACAAGTAAATTATTTCTTTGAACTCCTCTGAGGGGAAACGAAGCTTGCATTTATCTTGACAGGAGGTGGTGAAGTCAAGTACAGATTTAGCATTTACAACTACCAGTGAGGAAAGCTCTTGGCATCCAAGATTTAGTATATAAAAGAAAGTGTCAATTAAAATGAAAATCTGCTCCTTGCCAGAAACACATATTCACACTTAGGCTGCTACTAGCAATATTGATACTAGAGAGCCATATGAGCTTGAAATACATTGAAGAATAAATTTGCAGCTGTTAAAATTGGATTCATTTAATAGTCTGATTCCATGAAAAGAAATCAACTTGAGACAATTACCAGAAAAATAAGGGAAAGTACTCTATTGCTGATTAAAAAACTTCACCAAAGGAAAAACCTGGGCAAGACTTCATGCATGCAAGAGCTGTTCAGGGACTACATTCTAAATGGCATATTCCAACTATCACTAACCTATTTGTTTTAACTCAATATACAGGGATTATGATTCTTTTTTTTTTGGTATCACGGATCCCTCCAACAGTTTGATGAAACCTCTGGACCTCTTCTCAGAATATTTAAAAATGCATAAAATAAAATTCAGAGAATTACAAGGGAAACCAACATACTAGGAATACAGTTCTATCTTTGGAGCCCTGAAGCCCCAGGTTAAGAATCCTCACTTTGGCTAAGATCTTGTCTATTCAGGTCCCAAATCTAATGTATCTCACTTATTCGATCTTCAATTAGGGCAGCCCAACCTCCCCACAAATTGTACCAGATTGTTTGCTTCTATTATTATCTTTTCCTTGATCTTTGACTCCAGGCAGGACTTGGTTATAGGCCAAACTATAATAGCCCACCCCAGCCTTCTTGGTTATAGATGTTCATATAGAACCAGCCCTCTAGTCCTAGCATGAAAACAGAGCCAGTGGGTCTTACCTTCTGGTATTCTACTCACTCTGCTATCTTTATCTTTTGTTTTTGCTTTATTTTAAATTTACACCATAGTGCTAAATCTTATGCATCATCAGAAATTCTTTTTTGTAACGAGGTAGGTCAGAACCAGTTCAACCCTATTTTCATGAACTGCGATCTTAATTCTTAAAATGATAAAACTAGAAGGAATTTTAAAATAGTCCAGGCACTGGACTGTTCACTAGCAACTTATAGATAAGAAACTGAGGCCCAGAGACGTGGAATGTCTTCATCAAGATCAAACTGCTAGGATGTCGGAGAACTAGAACTCCAAAACAGGTCTTCTGAATCCCAAGCCAGTGTTCTATCATGCTGCTGAAAGCCCACCATATACTATAAAGTCAAAGTCAATTTTCTCATTTCCCTAAGCTCTTCCCATTCCCAACCAAATTTTGGTTATTTTTAAATTATGCCATCCTAAATCATAGATATTTAACAGTATCCTCTCCAAACTGAATACAAATCAGCCTCAAATTTGACTGTGAATTTAGCATAAAACAAAAATATAAATAGCTTTGTTTGTTGAAGGTATAATTAATTTTCTGTTCATACCCTTAGAGGGCAGAGATCTGAATGCAACTTCCTTACAGTGCACTGGACACTGTTGACAATAAGCCAAATGTGAATTAGGTTTTACTTCTTGAGAATCTGATGACAGCTGCTTTTCTTTTTCTACAAAAATACAGTTATGATTAACACAAAAGGACAAATATTGTATGATTTTTCACTTATATCAAGTATCATGGTAGTCAAATTTATAAAGACAAAGTAGAGTGATGGTTACCGGGGCTGGGAGGAGGGGGAATGGGGAGTTAGTGTTTAATGGGTACAGAGCTGCAGTCTGGGAAGGTGAAAAAAGTTCTGGAGATGGATGGTGGTGATAGCTGTGCCACACTGTGAATGTACTTCAGACCACTGAACTATGTACTTAAAAATGAGTAAGATGGTAAAGTTTATGTTACGTATGGCTTACCACAATAAAAAAATAGTGGAAAAAAATACAATGTAATTGGAAATGTGCTTTTATGTTCTGTGGGTAAAAGCAGCACAAAAACTCAGTCTTAAAAGCAATGTAAGAGACACATTTACTTGTAACAGTTCCTACTGTGATAAAAAGTTCACTTACATATACCCCATATAGTCCAAATCCGGGTAGCCCCATCCCCAAGGTAAGAAATAACAGCATTCAAAACCCACTCTATCATTGGAGATGTGCCGTAGACCAAAGTGTGCTGGCCATGCTGGGTGGAGAAGGTGGTGAAGGGTGAAGAGCTCTTACCTCCCACTGCCCTCTCTACCCGGCACAGCCCCCGGAGCACAGATTCCAGATGGACTTCAGTGTCGGCCCAGGGACTGCAAGTGTGCCTCAGCCTCTGGTGTTCCTGCTAGGTAAAAGCATGAAGACATTCCTGTGAGGTCCAAAAGACACAGTGCAGAGTTTCTGCCTTTTGGCCACGAAAAAGCAAGCACTAGTATTAACAGAAATAAAGAACTGGATTTAAACACAAAACAAAGCAAAGACCCTTCTTTTCACCCGGCTTGACAAATTGCAGAGCCATTTATAGTTGAACTTCATCTCAGGCGTTCAAAATGAGTATGGCACAGTGATGCTGAGAAGACAGCCGGCTACAATGAATACATCCGTTGGTATGGTCTTAAAAGATGACTTGTTTTGCAGTACAGTATCATCTGGAGTATTGTAAAGAGTATTTACAAAGCACTTTTAAATATGTTATTTCAATTGGATCACAACCATAGTACATCATAGCTGGAAGGAATAACTTAGTCTACCTTTAGGTAACAGATGAGGATTTAAGAGAAAGATTTCATAGGTGGTTGGAGGCGGGAAAAAACCAGAACTGGGTGTGACAAACAGCTCTCTCAATAAGATTCTGAGAGGTCTCAGGATCTTTATCCTCCGTGAGCAAAAATGAAGAGTTAAAAAGAACAGTTAATTTCTTGTGATTTGTTAGGACTGCTGGGAAACTTACATTTAAATAAGCCTCTAGGTAAAAATGTTTGGATGATAAGGAATATGGGGGCAGGAGTGGGGGGCGGTAGTAGAGGATAGGAGAAAGATAAACCACACTTTACAGAATTTAATATTCCACCTGTCAAAGTTATCTTACATCTGGATGCTAATACATTGAGATGGTGTATCCCAGCAGCGTATTTACTAATACTGGATTATTTCTGCTACCTTGTTGATTCCCACTAGATTTCAGGGAAACATTAGCAGCAAGCATACAAAGACTTTTCTATTTGACTCCTCAATCATTCCCCTTCTCTACCCCTTCCCCAGCCTTGTCTCAAAAAGACTTTCCAGTCTATAATTTAGAGCTAGCTAGCTTTGCTCTTTATCCACCAACGGTAAATGCATATTCATGTTATTACATATATATAGCTAGACCTCTATCATGGGATTTTATCTTTGATGTTTCTTTCAATTTTCACTGAATAAATGCAGTAACACAAATGAAACAAATGTCTGGAAACTCCAAGTTTCTTGTTTTGTCTTAATTTTGTATAAAAACTAAATACTCTGTATCAAAAGTGTAGGAATGTTCTTTGACTAAACAGTTCTCTTACTAATTTTTTTGGTGAAAGACACTCTAAGTCATGTACAAAAGGTGCTTATTTATTGGCAAATAAAAAATACCTCAATCGTTTACTAGTGACTTTTAAGGTTCTATGTCTACTATTTATGTTGATCTTTTTAAAAAAAGATTTATTTGTTTGTTTTTGGGGGGGAGAGAGGGAGGGAGAGAGGGAAGGAGGGAAGGAGGAAAGGAAGGGAGAGAAAATCTCAAGCAGACTCTGAGCCGGGCTTGATCTCTCAACCCTGAGGCCATAACCTGAGCTGAAACCGAGAGTCTGATGCTTAAGTGACTGAGCCACCCAGGGACCCCATTTCTGTTGATCTTTAACATAAGGTCCTATTCAGTTGTCCACAAATGTTGGCCCATGTTAGCTTCATGAGAACCACACAGGAGTTTATTTAAAAATACATGTTCTCAGGACCTGTCTCCAACATCTCAATTTAGTAGAGTTTAGCCAGGGAATCTGCATGTTAATCATGCACCTCAGGTATCTACTGCTATTATAACCTTCTGTATTATCTTTCATTCCTAAGAAGACTTGAGTCAAGCCAGGTATGTAAGCCTGACATAGTATCAGAAAAAAAACTGTCCTGTCCTGACTTGTTCTGGAGTCCTAGCAGAAGTAACTCATACAAGTTATGAGAAAATGGGGGCGGGGGGGAGTTAAAAACTAAACAAAGGTAAAGGAACAAAGATCCTGACCATCCAGAAAGTTTGTTCCCCAGTGCCTCACCTCACCTAAATCTTTTACTTCCGGAGGGTTGACAGCAAGACCAACTTTCAATTTCAGGCCTCGAAGCAGCCTGGTGTGCTCTTGTGGTTAGACAGCCATAAAACTATGTGGAGAGCTGTGGCTGGTCTAGGTCAGATCTCTGACTTGTACTATGAAGCCTGAAGAACACAAAAATGACCTGGTGGTACTGGGAAACTGAA